GGATTGGGTGGAGGGTCATGTTTTGTTCTGGTGTTCATTTGAGGTACATGGATCCCTGGTCATGCTTTTGTTTTGGGGTCATGTGCTTCGCACTATTAGGTTGGTACTACTAGTAACAAGAAACTACTAGTAACAGAACGAAACAACTCGCAGCTTTGGACCACATGTTTCGTGCTTTGATGGAAGAACTATATACAGTATATAATATAGATGTTTGCGCGGGTTGGAGACACGTTAAACTGAGCAAAATCATATGGCACCAATCTTCAAGAATGCGTGTGCATTCTGTCATACTCTGTCTATCATGAGAAAACAAATAAAGCCACTAGGGTCTCCACCACCTGTGGTGATCCTGGGAGCCCATCGATCTTGCCACCAGAACCTTGCTCTGAACAGCGCATCCTATGAGCGATGTGCTCAAAGGTTCTCTTGTTGCACAAGCTGCTCAGGCAATATTGACCCAAAGCAAGACACACAAACAATTCAACCTTTCATCAACCGCTCCCCAAAAGTAAGCTTTATATAACTGTTCAAACCTTTGCCGGATTAGGCACTCATGCATGTTTTGAGAAGTAGGCTCAGAATCTAGCGGCCGCTCCTAGTTTCTGAGCCATGGCACAAACTGTGTGAAGGTGGAGCCAGGGAACACTAACCTCCGGATAAGGCACGACCAGTTGACACACAGGCTTAAATTTAGGTTGATTAATCAAACCATCCATTGATAAGATCGATGCAACATGGTGCAAACAAGACTTTCCTGACAAAAAATGGGTTCAATCAGATCAATCCTCAGTGTCTCCAAATGGCTGAACAATCCTGAGGAAGGTTTGCACTATGGCCATGGCTAGTTGGGCTGCGTGCAGGCACTGGCGCACAGGGCCTGTTCTGGTACCGGCTGTGACTCAGCACAAGAATGACATTTCATTTGCATGATACCCTTCTATGTATGATGTTGGCCGCAAATTGAATTGTTTTCGAGCTCTTCCGAAGCACAATCCCAAGTATGGCTTGCTTCTTATATGATAGCACTTCCTAACAGAGTTCCAGAAGGCTGTGGGCGCTCTGCAAAGCATCATCTCTAATTCTGCCCACATTTCAGCATGAGTCGTGGCATCAAAGCCTTGTCCCGGTTTTGGAACAGCTCACAAAAAGCACCATTCCTGTCTCATCCGCACCTGGATCGACGACTTCACCTGCATGATGGCTGCCATTGGTTCTCGCTTATACAGTTTAAAGTTTAAACATGTTTAAGCACATACACACACATTTACACATTCACACACACAAACGCACATTCGAGTGCTTTTAGCTTTGGTTCACTAAGCTTTGGGGAGCATATGCATCTTTATGCATCCTGCAATGGTCACAACACCAACAGCCCAACCATCGATCCACTTCGGCCCTAAACATCAACATGTTTGTGGACATTGATCAACATGGCATTGAAGGGGTTGGAACGAATCACAGTACACATGAGCGAGGTTCAGCCCAAGGAAATGGCATGTGTTTATGTTTCAATTTCAACTTCTGAGAACGCTTGTCCTGAGAACCCGATAAGGCTGTAGCAGCACTGCTTCGTCAAAAAAAATCAAAACAAACTATATAGAACTGACCATGTCACCAAAGCCAAAGCTGATAGAGGAACAAAGGACATGCACCCAAGTCATGCATTCCTTTTGAAGAGGCCAACATGCAGTCCGTTGATTGGTCTCTCTATCTCATGGTCAATGCCTACAGCCATATTCCTTGTGGCACTTGCTGAAATCAACCAGTTTATATATTCAAGGTTAAAGAATGTAAGAACCATATGAGTGATCGCCTAAACCGATGATAACATTTGGTAAACTCTATAATATGTTGGTATCGCTTTTGGAGGTTCGCTATATCGCGTTACAGTGTTGGATGCCTGTGTCATAATTCTTGAGGATATTATTGAAACCATAGCCAAAGTGAAGTGCCCAAAAAGAAAGAGAGAGAGAGAGAGAGAAATAAATAAATAAAGAAAGAACAGAAAGAAAGAAAGAAAGAAAGAAAAAAATACAAACAAACAAACAAACAAACAAACAAACAGAAAGAAAGAAAGGAATACAGAAAAAGAGACAGAATGAGAGAGAGAGAGTTTTCCATTGACACAATAGCACTTCCTTCCCCCTTCACTGAGCTTTTTGTTTTAGAGCTCTTCATCTGTGTCAGACACCACAGGCACTGTGAAAATGCTACGAAAGGGGATCCGCTGACTGAGGCTGCTACGATAAGTTTCGAAGCTCTTTTTGAGCATTTCTGCGAGCAACACTTGCGCCCCTCAGCATTCAAGCTTCAACGGTCTTCAGACTTCCAAAGATCCCACTCAATTGAGCAAAACATCGGTGTTAGTCAACTGAACCAAATGTTAAACATCGAGCGTCTCTGTTCACTACATTTTATCTAATATTTATTCAGCGAATGCCTTCGACAAATCTTGGTTCTTATGTGGTGCCATCACTTGCCTTCTACACATTGGACTCTTGTTCACGGTCTTTATGCCAAAATCAAGATCAACACCATCATCACTGTCACCGACTGCAAGTCACCCATATGGTTGACTTCTCTGCCTTCCCGTCTCAGCAGCCGAGCCTTTGGGGCACCAGGTTTTCAAATATCCTTGGTGCGGAGAGACTAAACTAATAACATCTAGATTAGAGAAAGTTATATAAGTTTCCCCAAAAAATCTAGGAACCTAATCATTAGTGCGAGCGCTTGTTCAAGGAAGCTCCCCCCGGTGCTTCCTCGAAGCGTGAGTTATCCTGCGTCCTGTTCCTAGGAGCTTCCTATTGCTAGTAGCGAGGGCCTTACTCCTGGGAGCGATCGGACGCTACTAGGGGCGCTGATGGCATCGCTACTCGTAACAAGAAGCTACTAGGAGCGTTGGGCATCGCTACTAGGAGCAAGGGCATCTTCTACTTGATTAAGTAGAAGCGGCCTTAAACATAAATCCTCTCAACGTCGCTCAGCGAGGAAGGACCCATCGCTCTCAGCATCTCTCAGCCAAGCAACGAATGTCTTGAAAGTGAGACTCCGGAACGGTCAGCAAGGCAACAGAGCTTTGACTTTGGCATCCTTCGTCTACCACGAGGATACAAATGGATACAGGAGATGTTGAGTCTGGTGTACTTCCAACAACATGTAACATGGGCTTCAAGCAACCTGAACTAGAAGCGACACGTGCTCAACGCTCAAATGCATTGTCAACGAGCTCAGGTGATATGTTTGAGCGCAAACACAAGTGGATTTCACGTCATTGCATCTGCATGGGCTTGGAATATTCTGCTTTATCATGACTTTTTATGTCACGTTCCTGCTCCTTCAGCCCGTTGTTATTGGCTTTGCCTTCCCTTGCTAAAAAGCTGAACATAGTCAAAACAAACGCTGTATGCTCCACGTTCCGATCATGACATTAGTTCTTTTAAAAGAACATGAACACCTTGATGTCATTCCGATAGACTAAACTTGTCAATCGCACCAGCTGATACACCCTTGCCCACTCTTCTCCTGTTGCATACTTGAAGTTCTTGAAGGTGGTCGTGTGCTTGTGCCTTCAAACACTTTTGGACGGTGTGTCTGTCTGTGGCACGCTTCCGTTGTTCGGGGATAGATGTTGAAGCTCAATGGAGAATAACCAATGTGAGAAGTGGCGTGCCTCCAGGTAAGATCAGAAGTGCAACCTTGGGAACAGTGACATTTGGGCATCTTTTGGCATGCCTCGAGCGAGCAGGAAAGACTTGAGAATATCCGGGGTATAGAATACAGTAATTCCCTCAAAGCAGGTACCAGAGTCTAGGTGCAATACTTTTGCGAACTTGTGCACAACTAAAGACACAGGAGCAAAACCTTGCCTATCATATCAGTACAGTTTGAAGCAGGACTGCGCAAAAGGTATTATGTCTACCAAAACAGCTGACTATCCTAGTTGATGCCGAGTCTCCTTGTTGCCAGCTAATTGGCAAAAGCAATCAGCATTAGGCTTTCCTTCATACTCATAATAGCACCTCAACTCAGGCTCCAAAAGTCTGCCAATATTGATAGTAAATACTTGCAGGTTGTCCGCTAAGCCTCATGAGACGATTGACATAGCTGATATCATATTGATTTAGTGCCTCTGAACCACACTGTTTGACATGTTTCGACATAAACTGTGACTATCTTCAGTGATTTAAAGGCAACAGCCGATTCCCCTCTGCCTAGTGTCCTTTTAGCTCCAAGAGTGGCTGAGTGTTTCTACAGCTAAGTAGTATTGGTGTGTTCAAAGAACACCACCGGAAACGAGTCGATCCTAAGGCAACTGCGGTGGTTGCTCTCCTTCCGGAAAAGCGTATCTCTTGCTCCCTTGCAGCCGGACAATGTCTAGAATCAAATTCCACACGTTTGGCTTCATCACTACTGACGGAGGACACAAGGCCTCTCTTCGCGTTTTTCAACATTCTACATGAATGTGCAATGAGTGAGAGGTTGATAGAGATTGCTTTCGCGCTTTATGCATACCTACCCAAGTTACAGTACCCAAGCAACAACTGCCTCAACCTAGATTGGCTTCAAATCAACAAGCAATAATGATACGCAGAGCAGAACATGCCTTGATGCTCTCTTCCAGCCATGGTTAGCTTCCATGTGCAGAATATCAGAATGTGACACAGGACAGCATCAGCTATCAAATGTGCAGCAAAAGGGAAAGGATCAGAACGTGCTTTTTGGACCTGGGATGTGCATGCCACTTGGAGGAGGATATTTCGTTACATAATGGCACTAGGGCCTTGAGCGTGCAAACATGTGATTGACGAACTCATTGAGAAGCAGGACGGAATCAGGCCGCCCAAGCGAAAGATTCCCCATGCAAAAAACCATCAAGCTCACGATATGGCCAACAAACGGACTTCGAGTCGGTCCTTCCCAGTTCCAGGTATAGCCATGATTCTCAGCTTCGGCTCCTACATCGTCATCATCCACCACCTAAGACATCTTGAGACATTGCCATGCACATCGAGCAAATTCCGCAAACAAAGTGAGGACACAACATTTACAATAACTGTCTGGCTGCCCAATTTCTTGATTGGAAGCTCTTCTTAGAAAAGGACACCAAAGAAATGCTGCGACGCTGTGAGGCTGCGATGCTGTGATTTGGCTTGTCAAAATCATTGCCCATGCACAAGTGCGGTGTGCAAAAGTCCAAGGGACCTACCTGCACCCATCCATGTTGCTCAGGCCTTCAAAGCTTGTTGGCAAGTCCAACATGTCGAAACGGTCTTTCTTGATTCATCTTGGTGCACTGACGTTACGAACAAATACTTGCTGAATCCATCTGATTCTACATGCACAGCACATCTGGCAGAGTCTACAGTCTACCATCCGGGAACTGCTTACCACTTGCCACAACCTGTTTGCAGCGAGCCTGCTTGCATGTGAGGACCCCTACGTTTCCCTATCCTGCCCTTCTTGATATATAACAACGGTTTTATGGACACGACAGAACAAACAAGCAATACCTTGATCCCCAGACCGATCAGTCACGACGACATACATGCCCTGCCTCTCAACGGGTGGCGGTGGCAAAAAAGTACTGGGATGTGAAACTCCAGCCTGCCGCCAACCTAATAGCTTCTTGTTCCTAGTAGCTTCTTGTTACTACTAGTAAGGCACTTGTTACTAGTAGCGATGCACTTGTTCCTAGCTGCGTCGGACGAGAGAACAGCACAACCGTCCTACATTCGATGATTGCCCGGACTTCGGAGCCACAAGGTTTACTGCCGAGCAAGATGCAGCGGATGCGGTGTGAACAACTTGCACAAAGAGGCAATAGTTCTGGCTATCTAGTAGCAAAAAAGACAGGAAGAAAGGAAGGAAAAGAGAAGGTTTAAATGAAAAATCAACACTATCCAAGAAACCACCATACACTTGCCATACGCTATAGGCACGTACATGTGCCATACATCGTCGTACACCCACCTTCCCTGCTACATGGCTCGCTGGGCATGCACATCACTCCCCCTTACTAGTCCACACGCGAACGCTTTAGCAAACGATTTGGCAACAACCGCACAACGTTCAAATACGCTCTATACCATTCGGCCATTGCTACTAGGAGCAAGGACGCTACTAGGGGCTCCTGGCCTTACTACTAGGAACAAGAAGCTACTAGGCGCTTTTGGGATCGCTACTAGGAGCAAGGACGCTATTAGCTTGATTTGCAGTCGTTTGAGTTCACATTTAGTTAAGCTCAGTTCACAGGTGAGGAGAGTAGTATTACTACGCTATTGCATGCTATTTGCCATGGTATTCTTGCTTTAAATGATCCTAATTATGATTGATATCAGTGTTCTTCTGTTTTTCGAAGTCGTGTAGCTTCATGCAAACAATGAGGTTGCCCACCTTCGGCTCGAAGTTATTCACGAGGGAATTGCATCCTTTCAGCAGCAAATATGCCAAGGCTAGCAGGACCACCACCTTGGCAATCACAGCAGGATTTATACTTATACTGACATGATATTCACCAATTGATACATTCAAACACTAATTAACTTTAACCACATTGGCAAATTATACTCAAATGAAGTCCATCTTCATACTATATATCAGAATGTCCAGGTCTAGGATTTGATTTGACAGAGCAAACTCTCAGGTCTCGCACTGTTGCGAAAGTCTGACAACACCTAGTGCTGTCGGGCTGTCACCGGCTGAGGAAGTGTCAGTTGCTGTCGGTTGGTCAAACTGACGAGATCCACAACACTTTTGGATACTTTCGGTAGCTTTCAAATGCTTTTAGATTATGGTGTACCTGGAGCAGGTTATGTCCTCTTGTGCTCTTTCCAATGCTTGTAAAACAAGAACTTGGCATAGACTCAAAGCCACCGCGGCCTGGCGCTGGCGTCCGAGTCCTGCAGAGCAAGGACAGCCCATTTGGGGGCTGTGTTCATGCCGAAGTGCACTTAAAATGCTTCCTTCTTCAATGCACACCTGCATCTTTCTATCTTTTTCTATCATTTTCTTGACATGTGGCATCTTGGCTGCACTACTTGTTGTTTTCTAAGTAACAAATTTGGGTATACATATATGGGAGTTGATCTAAATTCCTTTATCCGGGATCCGTCATTTTCGCCAAAAAAAAATTTACTTTCGCCAAACTTTCGCCTTCCTGCGTTTTATCTTTCGCCGAAGTACGTTGTATTTATGTGTGCCATGTATGTTGTGTTTTGTTCACGTCAATGGCTTCTTCTTTACTGGCAAACACAAAATAGAAACTTCACTGTTTGTCAGCATGTGTCTTCTACTTAACTGTTGACACCCAGTACGTCTCTTTTGTTTCTCCTGGGTGTCAGCAAGAATCAAAATTGCAAGAATCACTGTAGTAGCCGGTCACTCAAACTTACTCATAATGGGCTGGGGGTCAGATGTGGCAGGGTGAACTTTCGCCAATCTTGAGCTGAACTTTCGCCAAACTTTCGCCTTTTGCGGGGTAGAGTTTTGTGGCAAAGCCACCCCCAAAAGCACGAGCAGGAATAGTAGTAGTAGTAGTAGTAGTAGTAGTAGTAGTGGTAGTGGTAGTGGTAGTGGTAGTGGTCGTGGTCGTGGTCGTGGTCGTGGTAGTGGTAGTCGTAGTAGTAGTAGTAGCAGCCGCAGCAGCAGGTTATCTAACTTCCACAGCTTATCTAGCTTCTGAGTCACTGCCACCAGCTGTTCAGAAAGCAAATGAACATTCATACAAAAGTACATATTTAATCTTTCGCCAGATCTTTCGCCAAAAAAAAATTACTTTCGCCAACTCGAGAAAAAAACTTTCGCCAAATGAGATTTTGATATGTTCCGGGTCATCGTCACACACACTGCTGACTAGGACCTTTAGATCGACAACCATATATAGTACAAGCCTAGTACATGAGCACACAGAATGCAAATCCTCCATATTCACGCATGACCAAAGGCAGGCTTAGTGAAATACACACTGACCAGTGACTCCACAAAGCCGAGCTGGAAAGGCCTGCCTGGACTTCAGCCTTCCTGGCTCCAAACGCAGCAAACGCACATGCCGCCATCCCAAAACAGTGGGAAGGCAGTTTCGTTTAGTGGGGCGGTTGTCACATGCAGCTGACAGCAGGGAACGGATGAAGTTCTCTGGGCAGCGCGCGACATGGCCCGCATTCCCATCAAGTGACGCTTCTGCTCATCTCCACCTGCAATCACTAGTCACTAGCACGCGCTTCTGTGTGGTTTGTATTTCGGGCACATGTTCGGAGACTCCGTCTTGGTTGCAGCTCCACAATGTTCTGTTCTGACATCTGCCAAACTGTAATACTAAGACAGTCATTGCATATGTAAACGTTCTATTGCTGTTGCCAAAGCAAAGCTCTTTTGCTGCCTCTAGCTGAATTGGGTGGCGAGTCCATGGCTTCAGTGCTGAGAACAGCGTCAAAAATGACTCATGCACTGTTCAGGGATCATTTCGCCCTGTTGGGTAAAGGCAAAAACTATGAGGCAGCAACGGATGTGACAAAGCATACGCATACAGTACCAAACTCACATCGTGGCCTCTCCAGTGAAGCGAGTCATATCCACTTGTGTTCTTATGAAATGGGAAACACCTCCCACAGCAGTCCAAAGGCTTGCAACCTCTTGACCCTAAGCATCCTGGAGCCAAGCGACTAAATCCAACGGAATACTGCCAGTATCAGTATCCTATACTTTTCTTGAACTTGTGGTTGAGATGCACTAAGGTCAACAAAACGAACAAAGTTGAACACCATGAATTCTAGCACTTGCTTAGATTTATTCCTTAAGAAGTACCAAACTTTCAGAGAAAAAATTATGTGCTATGTGCTCTTGCTGACAGACTCCTGTCAAAATCCAGATCCCTGCCTTCGCACTGGCAACATTCCTTGATGAACTTCCCTTTTCAACAACACATCCGTCATGAGTCATCAAATTTTAGGCAAGCAAGCAACAATATCGATACTGTCAAAACCATGCTACCCTTCCGTTCGCATCAAAAATGATGGCGGATTCCACGAATGTTCATCCACCCCAATTTTTCTTATCATAATGTACCATAGGGTATTGACCCATTGGGATGATCGGACGGTACCCTCATGGATCGTCTGAAAAATTAGACCAGTTTCTGAAGTTGCTCACCTGCAGTGCCGTATCCTGGCCGGTATCCCATTTGAGCCTCAAACCGCGGCGCAGCTTTGTTGAAGACATCGGCTTCAGGGAAGCTTACAGTTACTTGAGTGTGAATGGATGGTATTTGGAAAATCCCGGAACTTGCTGTTCAACCTTTGCATAGAGATCTTTAAATCCTCAACGAGATCCGGCGCCGCCGCCAACTGGTGAAACTGTGCTGCCCCAATGTATGTTTCCATCAGGACACACTGCTAATAAACTGTTCCTTCGCAAGTCTTCAATTTACAGTCAAAGGTCATACGTGTCAGATGAAGCACTCATGAGTTCAGGGTGCTTTGGAAAAGCTCGCCAAGCGACAGTCAACCCACGCAGCCATGGAGGTCCGAGCTTTGTCTCGGCTTTCATTCAAAATTCGAACAGCTTTCGGATGTTTGTTGAGTGGGTCTGTTTCAAGCACATGCTTCAAAGCAATCCAAGCACCCTTCTCACCATTTGTTGCTGCAATTGACAATGCAGAAACACATGCCAGCATTGCCGTGACCAGAATTGCAGCTCTCGCGCACGATCGATCGACAGACTCGACAGGACTCAAAGGTGGGTTGGCGACAGAGGAGGCACAACGGGGGAATGAACTCCAAGTCGGACGCCACTGCGCCCAGGATCGAGAGGAGAGCCCGCCCTGCATTCGCCACCTCGCGGGTGAGGCCAGATGTCCCCACCAAGAGGACCATGGTTCCCGCCATGGCCGCTGCCCTTGCTCCCACATCGGACCAGAAGGAGAACTCGTCCACGGAGATGCCATCAGCGCCCTCGTCCAGCCGCTCCACGGCCAGACCCACGTGGACGGGCAAAATGTCCAACGGGCCGACGTCCGACGCCAGCCACTGAAGCGCCAGAAGGTCGAGGCGCGCCGGCCTCTCATGATAACGCTGCCACGCTTCAGCCGGTCCAAGTCCCTCTTGAACCAATAGGCAGCGGCGGTTCCACACTCCGATCCATGGGAACTGGAAACCGCCCCGACGATCCGTGCAACGGGCACAGGGGATGTTCGCGCAACGAAACGCCTGACAGGGGGAAACCCCGCGGTGGAGAGGGCTGGCCTCGGGGAACCCAGGTGGACAAGCTCCACCACAGAGGCCCAAAGGCGCCAGGCATCCCGCTCGCGCCCCTCCGCGACCATGAACTCCATCTACGCAGCCGCATGGATCACCTGGTACCTGGTGTGCACAGCGAGGCCGGTACCAAAGCGCTCATGGGGTATCAGGGTCCCTCCCTGAGCAAATCCTCTCTATAAGGGTCCCGCCCTCAAAAAGAGAGAACAAACGCTATTCTGGCCAAGGCACTTGAGCAAAAATATTCGTTAGTTATGAGATATGGTAGAAATGAAGCCATGTTCACCCAAGCCTGCCAGACCTGAAACATGATTAAGCTAATATATATATATATATATCTGTGTCTTTTAACATCTTTTAACCTGCACCAGTGTAGTTCAGGCAACTTGCGATTTCCTTGTTACTCCTCGTAAACATCCACTATCAAGTTCAACACAAACTAACCGAGTACAGGAAGCCTTGTGCACAGACCTCAGGCAGGGTGGTACATTGACCCTCCAGAAGGGGCCACCACAGCCCCATGGCAATGGTATGCAGTATGCACCAAACTTTGTCGATCTGCAATTGAGACAACCGACCAATGTCACACCATTCTACTTTGATGTACCAACTCTCAAAGACCCAAGCCAAAAGCCTCACTGTCACGGTCCAGCTCCATCCTTTTCTTGGAGTGTCTTTTACACTCAGCTCTTGCATTGACAACCCTCGAGCCAACTGGCTGGAGTCTTTCCCTTTCGGGGTTGATCAATGCTCGAAGGCAGCTTGTCTACTCACTTGAATCTGCCTATGTGTACTCACAAAGCAGCTGGTGAAAGTGCGCTCAGTCAGAAAGACCTACCTACATGCAGAAAAACTATTGGTCAGCTGCCTCAGTGGGAGGCAGCGCCCTGTGAGTGTAGGACCAATCTGTGGCCCTCCTCACTTGAGAACTACTCTTGCAGAAGCGAATGCCACAGCCAAGTGCCGCTGCTATTTGAACCTTGGGATCACTTGGTTGGCGATCACCAGCTTGCCAAAGACGGTTCTGGCTACTTCACAACATGTGCTAGTGTGTTAGAATACAGGCAAACCAGTATACCTACAAGTACCACATGAGTGAAACAAGAAATACTGTGCTGTAAGGCACCATCACTCACCAGCCACTGTAAAATGATCTCTTGTGCACAGCATCACTGAGATCTGGACTCCCAATTATATGATTGAGAGTCTTTGCGGAAGCTACAAAGGAAGGACAAAGTGCACCTAGGGACGCCGCGTGCTGCCGCTTCTCTTATGTGGGAAACGCCTCAAGTGATTATGATTCATGGGTGATACAACAGGGGCCATGTCCAAAATTGCGGGACATCTTTTCCAATTGTTATTCTTGGGAAGGGACTCTTAGTCTGTCTCTTTGTAGATTCAGTCGAACACATCATTCCGCACCTGTTAGCGTGCGAGACTTGCACGAACCTTTGCCACCTTGAACTGCAACTGGTGGTGCAGTCAATGAATCGGTATGAGAAATCGGCACAGAAGCGGCAAGCCAGAACACAAAACCTGATAAACACCCACAAACCCAAATGCACACACGTACACAAACGCAAGCGGCCAAATTCTGTTTGACACTCTTGATCAACACTCTTCAAATACATTTTGGGATGACACTCTTCGACACTCTTGTGGGACACGTTGTGCGATGTTGTGCGCCATTTTTGCATGGCACTCCTGTGCGACACTCTTGCTGGACACTCTTTTGCACACACCGTTGTAGGACACCTCGTGGGACGCTCTTGTAGGACACTCTTCTAGGGCAGGCACTCTTAGGGCACTCTTGCGGGACAATCTTGTCGGACATTCGTGTAGGACAACTCTTGTGGGTCACTCCTTTTGGACTTTCTACACAAACATTTGAACGAGATCACCTCCAAAAGTCAAGCGCAATGCCTTCAACACGAGCCTTTCGTACGAGACTTCCTCCAAATGTACGGCGTTAAACCCTAGCATGTTGCATGAGACTTCTTCCAAAAGTGACCCGCCAAGTCTTCAAAGCAAGCACTTAGGCGCTTAGTGTCAAGTCTCCAAAACGAGCGTTGAGAGGTTGAGCATTTGCACCGCACCACACGTTTGCAATGTTTTCGACACTTTCTGAGCACACTCACATCAGCCAAAATCGCCATTTTAGTTGAGACTTGTCACGAAAGCACAGCTTCGAGGCAAGCGCTTCAAGAGCAAATTGCGTACCTGCTATTTCACGCGGATCAGACACTTCTTCCATCCAAGACCTGTTCGAAAAGCTTCCTCCGACGACGACAGCGACCAGGACCACGACAACGCGACGCGTCCGACACGAGACAACATGACAACACAAGGCGAACACAAGTCGTTCCCCCCGACTGTAAACAAGAACCCTTTGCTACGGATTCAGGATACAGTAATTCAAAGACTTTTGATAAAAGAAGCTTGGAAAAACACCTTCATATGTCCGCACTACGCCCCTACACAAGATCCATGGATTGATGTATAGAGTCTATTAATCAACGCAGTCTTGGCCATGAAGCCCCCTTTTGACTTGATTGACATGGCTCATTCCAAATTTAATTGAAATGATCTCTGCAGCCCTGGCACGATACAACTGTAGCGATCGCCAAATATCCCACTTGCAGCGTCTGGCATGTAGCTATCACCAACTCCCCAGAAATGGACCATGTTTTGGAGGGCGTAGGGGAAAAAGCTAGGTCAGGTAGCTACAATGGTAGCTACGGACACAAAAGGGATCGGGCGGCTCGGCTTCCTTGAACCCTTCTGAGAAATAAGCCAGAGTACAAAAATACATCAACATCACTCAACATCCGCTCGAAACCAAATACAACCAAATACATGTCTCGCTGACCTGGTGTTCAACTGCCTTTCTGCAGCGGAAAGCGGCTTGTCGCAAGCCAAAGGTAGAAAAGTCAAGAATCTACTCTGCAGAGAACCGAATGTACTTGGTAAAAAATGTACTTTTTGGTAGCTGCACTTATGGACAATATAGTGGACAATATCCATCGCTGCTCCTATGTACCTTCCCGTATGATCCCGCATGGATCCGTATGGTACAATGCAGTGGTTAGTGGAGGAGTGTCTTTACAGGAGGTCCAGAAAAGAAAGAGACGCCAGAGCATCAGTCAAATAGCCTGACCAGAAGTTGTAAAGCAATGGGATGGCCATCGTATTCAACATCTTTCAACAGG